AGAAAATATATTTGTTTTTCTTTTTTCTTTTTTATAAATTTTATACTTATGTAATTCTTTTTTTAATTTTGCAGAACTTCTAGATAATTTGCGACCTGTATCACCAAAGCCCGGCCACATTGAAAGAGTGAAGACTCCTCTTGGAAGCGGAAATGCTGTTATGGAAGATGATGAACAACCATTTAAAGAACGATTTTTGAAAATCAACGTACGTCATATTACAGACGGACAGGTAATTTATATTCTAATTGTTTTGTTTTTCATAAATTTTAAATATTCTGGATTGATAAGTATAACATTGAAATGATTTAAAATGAATAATGCGATAAAAAGATAATAAATATTAAGAAATTATATTAATTTATAATTTTTCTTATGTTCTTCTAGGGTGTGGTAGGTGGTGTATTATTGGTTACACCAAATGCAGTAATGTTTGATCCAAATGTCTCGGATCCTCTTGTCATTGAACATGGTGCTGAATCTTATGGAGTTATCGCTCCAATGGAATTTGTAGTTAATGCTGCGATATATTATGATATTGCTCATATGCGAGTAGGGCATACAAAATCTGGGAATCTAGACAAAAAGCCTGATATATATTATATGAAAAAACCTTCTCAAGGTGATAGTCAGAAATCTCAGTCACCAGGCAAAGATGAAACTTTTCCTGAATTGGCAGGTGACGATAATGAAAGTGTATGCAGTTGTGCGGAAAGAGAAGGCGATGCATTCCCAAAAGCTTTCGATAGAGAACTCGTAACACCTACCAATCTACAAAATGTATGTATATATAAAATGTATCAAATGTTTTAATATAGACATATAAATGTATTTTCCTCTTAATGAAATTAAAAAAAAAAAAAAAAAATATTTTATTTATAAAAAATTCTATTTACCAGGAGGATAATTTAGCCACAACCAAAGAGAAGGAAGAAAAAGAGAAAGATAGTACTGAAAAAGAACCATGTGTTGGTGGTGGTCAAGCAAGTAGAACATTAGAAGAACGTAGGAGATCGATGTTAGACCATCATTGGGCAGTTCCTAGTAAAGATCGAAGTACGTTTTCGGTTGACGACGAACAACAAGATTCTTTGAATTCTGATAAGGTAAAGATTATATTATTTTATTTCTGATGATGTATTTCATCTAAATACGTCAAAATAAATATCAATTATTTTTCACAGACAGAATCAGCAAAATCCAATGCCATTCCTGAAGATGAAGAAGGATCTCTAGTCAAATTATCGTGCCATGATTCTGGCATAGATATACGTGATCCTAACCCACCGCTTCCAATTGTTCAACCTATGCCATCTAAGAAAGTATATTCTGATGCAGACATTGTTTTATCTTCAGATTGGGTCCCACCAATAACAATAGCTCCAACTAATATCACAACTAGTTCATTAGATAGCGGTCCTAGCATCAATGGTAGAAAGAAAGCTAGTTCAGTATCATTTAGTTTAGATAGTAATAATGAAGAACCTGAAAAAGATGAAGAACATAAGGATGATGATAAACAAGAATCTAGAAGAAATAAGGTATCGTAAACAAATATAAATGATTATTGTGAATTTGTGAATATGATTCTTGATATTTTTTATACCTTTTATATTCTTTGAAGATGTTAAAACGTTTATCTTACCCGTTGTCATGGGTTGGGATGGAAGGACTCACAGGTGACCGAGAGGAAGAAAATAAATCCGTTTCTGATAGAGTTTCAAGCTTGCCAAATAGTGCTGATTCCCATCATTCATCTGTCTTCAGTAAAGTCTTCTCAAGGTGAACACATTTTCATGTTATATTTATCCTTTTCGAATTATTTTTTCCACTAGTCAGCGTCTTTTTAAAACTATTTTTGTAACATAATCTTCATAAATTTAATATATGCTTATGTTACTTATTACTGTACTCAGCTGTTCTAGGATTGTGTAAAATTCAAACAGATATATACAGCATATGTTTTATACAGGATTGATAAATTGGAACGCTGAAATCTGTCTTGTATGTTAAAATTTTTATTTACAATCACGTGTGATTGCTTCTTCGCAAATTTTTAGAAGGCATAGAATATACTTGAGGTTATTCGTTGAACATTAAAACAATATATAAAAAAATATATTCGACGCATTTTATAATTTAAATTATATTACGATATAATAAGCAACGAGCAAGTTGCGTTTTGTACAAATGTACAGTGTGAATATCCTCAGGTATTGTAAAATAGAACTACCAGTAGCTACTTTTATGCATAGAGAGTGGCTTCCTGCATTTCTAACAAGCACAAGGTTATGAAAATATATTTTATATAAAAAGAAAAAGCAAAAGAGAAAAAATAAAAGAGAAATGAAGAAATACACAAATCTGAAGATACTCGAAGGAAAAGTTCTCAGAGCAGTTGCAATACTAACAACCTTTAATTGTGATAACAAAATGCTACTAACATTTAGAAACTGAATATTCTTAAAAAAATTATTTCTTATTTTTGAAACGGAATTTACATAATTTTACTTAATTTTTCTAATATGAATGATCAGTTTCAATATTGTTTGTTCGAAGCTTTTCTATGATTTCTAACATAACTAACAAAAAATATGTAATGGTGGTGGTAAAAGCTCGCCGATCAACCTGGTGAGTGACTTTAGCTCGGGCCTCTTTGCTAAAACTCCCAGCGAAGAGAGTGGTGGGGGCGGTAGAGCTGGAGGAACTCCTCCGCTTATCGCCTCCTCTCTCTCCCAGGACTCCAGCAATGCCCAATTTTCACCAGGTCCAGGAGGCCTAATTGGGTGAGTTTGACCCTGATCGTCAACCTGCATTATTATATAAAATATACATTTGGTCCTTGGTATTTGTCTGTCAAAATGTGTGATCTCCTTATTTATTTTACCTTTTGGTATTTATTACTCTAATTGTATTATATTTTATTTTGTATATTCGAGTGGAATGTTATTATGATTATGTATGGTATTTTGTATGGTCTTGAAAATTTTTTTTAAATATTTTTAAACAATAATTGTTATATTTATTGTAAAAGAAATTTTCTTTTTTTCTTTTTTTTTTTTTCTTTTTTTTCCCCCCCAATATTCCTTTATATATGTTTTATATGTATATGTCTATATATTATGCTTATCATATCATACACTTCTTTAATTTTCACCTTTGTATCTTTAAACTTTTATCTTTCTGGGGTTAAGGGTCCCCCAGATGGTTCCTGCTTTCAGGTAAATGTTACATCTCTCCAGAACTTTATCAGTTTATCGAATACTACAGTTTGCTATATTAAAGCTTAATAAAACTGCTTACAATCAAATACAATACATTATTAATCTACACAGCATATATAGTATCTTGAAATAGCCACAAAATTAGTTTGCAGCATACGCTGGACATACAAATTCTGCATTGGATGTATCTCCTACTCAATGTCAATGTTGTCGACTTATATTAATCAAAATAATTTTAGCATTACGAGGATTTCGTTCGAATGTTATTATAAAATGAAAGGGACATTCGTTGATTTTATACTCGTAATGTCGATGAACACATTTTTATGAATGTAGTTTCATTCTTGATTCATTTTTCAGGCGTTCTTCCGTGGGTACTTTCATCAGACAACAACCTCTAACATCCTCAGGTAGTAGCAGCGTTGATAGTAATCGTGGAAGTAAAACTTTAACGCAAGCACCACGACTGGATTATCGCAGTATGGTTTCCGTTGAGGATATGCCAGGATTGTTCGTCAGTTTTGACAGTAAGTATCGTTATGATTAAAATGATGTATTAGTCTGGAAGTTATACATTCTTATCGGAAAGAATAACGATACTAGTCTTAACACATTACAATAAGATAGACTTTCCTTCTCTGACGAACTTTTTTCATTTACGCGATTCCATTACTAGTTGGGCTAATTTTCGTAAGAACTTTGATATAAGAAAAAAACACATACATTTAACGGTAAGAATGGTAAACGGGAACTACGTGTTTCGCACTGCACTCGCTCGTATATGCTAGACGGCTTTTTAGATAATGTTACGTTGCTAATGTATTAGTGTCCCTTTGCATAAACATTGGGCGCTTTTGGATACAAATAAATATCAAAATTGATACGTGCGATTTTAAATCGAAAATATAATAATCTTTTTGTCTTAACATAATGTAAATAAATAGTAACCAAATGCGCTTATTTCATTCTATATTCAAGTAGTTTACGTATTCTATATTTTTGAAGTACGTTTTAAATTATAGTTTTGAAATATGCTCATTTGTCATGTTGGAGTCTATATTAAGTGCGTTACAATTTTATATCCTTCTCCTTTTAATTTAAAAGGGTTATGAGACTGTTATTTATTATATTCATATTATAAAATTTAATAATATAGAACAAAATCATAATATGATTATATGGATAATACAAAAAAAAAATAATAGTTATTTCGTAATATAATTACAATAACAAATTTCATAGCTAACAATAAATGGTATTTTTAAACAAACTATTTTTGTAAATTTCTCATTGTATAAAATGCTTTTTCATTACATAAAATATTAGAAATGCCAAATTTTCTTTCTTCGATAAGAAACATGATTATCTATTGAGAATCTTGAAACCCTTTGTGCCATCTTATGTGTTTAAGACGATTATGAATTGTTCATTGTATGATCACATAATTGTTATAACAATGTAGTGTTCTTCTAACTTTTCCTATATTTATCTTTTAGAAGATTACTTTTTTATACATTGTTCATATTGATAGTAATATGCATGAATGTATACAGATAGGGAACTTTTCATTAGCACGACGGGTTTCATCATTCATTAGCAACAAATTCATACTAATGCAGTAATGTTACATGTTTTTGTTGTCCCTCTAGTCCAAGCACCTAATTTTCCTGAACTTGAAGGCCTCGGTAGGTTCATACTGTATTAGCTTGCTCTGTCCCTATACTTGTGTTATGACCATCCATTTATTTTCTTTTTTTTTTTTGTCCTTTTTCTTTAACATTATATTTCAGCTTAATTCTGAATCCTTATTTTCTCCTTATATTACCATGCGAAAGATTCTTTTGTTTGCTAAGTTTTAATAACCAACATTATAAATATTTATATTTTTTTACTTTCTTCGATTTGCTGCCTACAGGTGCACACTATATTCAAGAATATATAGGATCACTTACTTTACACTATAATTTATTATCGGTGTTGTTTAAATTGTTCTTCTATGCGTGATAATATATTTCTCAATTTTCTATTTCAACTCTTTTGATTATCTTGATTTAACTATTGCCCTTTGTATGATATCTTTTTTATATTAAATAATATAAAATTAAAATCACAGTACGTAATGAATTTTTTCTTAAATTTTTTATGATGTTAGTTTGCGTGTAATAATTGTCATTTTATTGAACCACTTATTACGTACATTTATCACTGGCTGAACGAAATTGAATTTCAAATATCATATATTATTATTGATGTTAAATACAATATTTATACATATTTTGTGCATGAATTTTTTATTATAAATACGATAAAATTTAATTGTAAAATGCTTCTCTTTTTTTCTTTTTTCTTTTTTTTTTTTTTTTTTTATTCAAAAAATTTAAGTAATTATAAAATTGTCAAATGTTTTTAGTGTGGTATTTCTTATGCAGATATTCAGCTTAATACTGAGAGGACCAGTTGAAATTAATCAGTTTTATTCAATTACGCAGTGTTCATTTTTCTTATAGCTATTTTAAGATAAGACATTAACTTTTTTATTGTACAGAAGAGTGAGGACCTTCCGTGTATATACAAATTCAAAATAACATTAATTTTTTAATTTTAACATTTGAGAGGATTCATTGTAAAATGAAAGTACAATGTTATATCTAAGATAATTATTTACTTTAATATATTACAATGAAATATTTTTCTTCCAATTACACAGAACTGATACCACGACCAGCACGATCTTGTGAAGATCCTCCATTGTATCTGAGACTACGGACTGGTAGACCCAAAGATAAAAAAATACCACGATCTACGCCTATTATGAGTTATGGGAAAAAGAAACTGCGTCCTGAATATTGGTTCAGCGTTCCACGTAATAGGTATGTAACTCTTCTATTCTATAATCTTTGTAATCTATCTAACATATACGTATTATGATAAAATGTATTAATATATGATGTATGTATTATGATAAAATGTATTATGATAAAAAATATAAACCATGAATGACAATTATAGAATGATGACAAAAAGAAATTCAAAATTATTCTATAATTTTTAATACAACATTGAAACAAACAATGAATTAAAATAAGACAATTAAAAAAAAAACACTCATCAAATTAAAGAATATTTAATAATTAAAATAGAGGAATAAAAAAGAAATAACTCAAAATTATTCTATAATTTTTAATACGGTGATGGAACAAACAATTAATTGAAGTAAGACGATTAAGAACACACGTATCGGATTAAAAAACGTTTAATAATTAAATTCACTAGAGATAAAAAGAAGATATGTTAAATAAATTCAAGTGTGTCACTTATTGCGCCATTGATTCGAACATATTACGCATATGCGAGAAACAAGTATAAATACTTACGTAGAACAACCTTCGAAAGTGCATGTGCACGTTTTCTATCGGCAAGTTGATCATGTGACTTTAGCGATGCTCCAATAAGCCGTTAGTTACTCGCAGAGTAAAGTAACGCAAACGTTTGCAAGTTTTCCAGAAGTTTCTCTCTCTGTTCCGTGATCAGTTGACGTTACTATTATAACAGAACAAATATAAAATAAGTGACAATATACTCTTCGGTAAAATATTAATGATAACCAAATAGAAATCGTTTAGATTGGTAGCGGCCTCTATATGTGTTGTAGAAGATCATATTCGATACTCGCTCGGTAATCGAAATGAAATGAAAAGAAATCAAATGTTAAAGAACTTTATTTTTTTTTGACAATTTAGAGGTTAAGTTGGTCACGTGACAATATAAGATTGAGAAGGGCACGATTTTAATATATAGTTATATTAATATACTTATCGGGTAATTGTTATTGTCACTAGTTTAGTAATCTTAATAATTTTTATTTAATTCTATTTTCGATCATTTTAAATAAGGAATTGTAAAAGAAATTTCGACTCTTGCTTCATATTTTTTTTTCTTTGTTTTTTTTTTCTTTTTTCGTTTTACGCACTACATTTTGTTCGTATCTACAATGCGACAAGAAACGCTTGCGTAAATCGTTTGGAATTTTAATACGCAAAACAAGAGTATATATATATATATATATATATATATATATATATATATATATATATACATATATATATATATAAAATAGAATTCAAAATGAGTTGGATGTTGAGTACCATAGGCGGATACGTCGATGCGATTTATAATAATCATGTAAAAGATAAAGTTAGAAGAACGATGCCTTTTATTTACAACAGGTAATTTTATATTAAAATAATTGATGATTTTTATATATAAAATTCACATAATCGATAATTCAATGATACCAAGTCCAAGTATCAATTAGACTATGATCTATCTAATTACTCGAAGATATAAAAAAAACATTCGTATGTATAAATAAATTTTAAATTATTAAAATTCGTATGATTGACTTAGCTTATAATATAATATTATTAAAAGGATCAATTTGTCGATACAATTAAACTCATTAATTTATATTAAGACATATTTTATCGTCCGTGTAATTAAGATATATATGTATATCATTTGTATTTTCTTTCTTCGTAGGGTCGATGATCTTTATAGGTTTATTCACGCGTGGGTTCCTAACCTTTACGGTGAACTCGATGAAAATTATTGGAGGGAACGTGGATATATTCTATCTGACACCGACACAGATTTATCGCCAGAATTGACACCACAGGAATCTGGCGAAAGTGGAGAATCAACTGAGGAGGGAAAGGCACGCAATCAAGATGGCGATGAGATATCAGAATTAACGAGAGAATCCTGGGAGGTGAGTCTTTTTATTCTTATAAATTATTATTATTATATATATATTCTTTTTTCTTTTAATAACTTAATTTTCCTATCGTAAATTTTATTTATTTATTTTTTTTGTCATTTCTCGAATAAATTCAATCAAATATATGATAAAGAAAAAATAAAGAAAATTTTAGCAGGATCATTCGTATGATCCACTTTGTATATCATATATATATATATATATAGATATATATATATATATATATCATATATGATATATTATATATCATATATATATATATATATATATATATATATGATATATAAATTTTCGAAAAAATTATGCTGGATATTGTTACGCGGTACGCAACGTTACAAAGTTTATCATCTTCGCGAATAATAAATATTCGTTAATTGTTATTTTTAATATTTTTATCATATTTCAATATATCTCGAATTAATTCAAAATGAAATTATCTGTCTATCTATCTATATATACATGTATATTAGAACATAAGTTTATATTCTTTGTTAAATACTTTAATATATCGAATGAACGAAAAGCATTCTCTCGAAAAGAAATCGTATCTCTGATCGATTATAACGTTCAACGACTTCAAGTGATTGCTCGTTGACGATATGTATCGCCATAAATATGTAGATTGTTTTTCACACTTATTATTATTATTCTTATCCTTATTCTTATGTGCCGGTATTCATTATAATTTAAATTTCTCTCTTATTCAGTCATATTTTTATTTTTTATCGAAAAAAAAAGGAAAAAAAAAAAAGAAAGAAAGAAAGAAAAGCTTTTTTTTTTTAAATACATAGATTGTATCATAATCGTCGATGTAATATTTCGAGATCTTTAGCTTTTGTATTATTATTTTAAATCCATTCGAAGATAATTAAAGAAGAGGTTAGTTGTTTCGATCTTACGATCGTCGCATCGATAACGAATGGTTTTGATCTTATCAATAATATTTCGCGAATGAAATTATTAAAAATGACAAGCTTGATCGATTCACGATTGCATGGATTATCGATTTCTCAAAATCTCTTTACTCTTAAGAAAAAATTTTATTGACATTGATTGAGTCATTGGGGATTAGAGGATCAATGAAGATAAAAGATAAAACGTGGGAATTTGTAGAAAAAAAAGGAGAACAAAATGAAAACAAATAAAAATAAAAAGAAATGATCAGACATTTCCATGAGATTTTTAAATTTGTAAAATTTTTCCTATACGTTCTTTTATTGGTTCACAAATAAATTCGCAAAATTCCCGTTATATAATTTTCTTGAACATAGTAATCCTCTTTTCATGACGTCTTTTAATTCGATCACAACATGTGTTGAGTCATCTGTCGTAAATACAGATAATATATAATGTACACGTGTAGTATCCCATCCGTGCAACCCGGTCACACGTGGGATCTTTAAATAATTTTAAAAGTATTGTTGTGTTTTCTACGTCCTTGAAGAAGAATGTAAAAGAATACTTGTGTTGTCTTTAGAGAGAAAAAAAAAGAATCCGAGACGTATCATTATTAACTTACTACAGATAAAGAACATGTATTTCTCTTCCTCTCTCCCTCTCTCTTTCTCTCTTTCTCTCTCTTTATATAGTTCGAAACGATTTTCTACGATTTCCTTTTTCACTTTTCTACGAAATAATACATTACATTTTTCTAAATATATTTTTGAATTATTTCGAAGATCGGATTTGCTTCTTTCCCATCTTTTGAAAGAATAACTTACTTAACTTGATAACGTCGATAAAGTCAACTTCTGAATGATCAACGATAGGTTTGAAAGCGTTAAATAGTTGAGTAATATAATTTTTCATTTAAATTCGAGAAAAAAAACCTAATTTATTGATGCGATGATCGATCGTGTTTACGTTATTAACTCGATTTAAAATTTGATCGTTTAAAAAAAGATTGAAAACAATAATAATAATAATAATAATAATAATAATAATAATAATAATAATAATAATAATAATAATAATAATAATTAAAAAAGAAACGAAAAAAGAGAAAAAATGGTTTCGAAAGAGATTTGTTGATAAAAATGGCCGATTGTATTGGCTAACAGCTGATCAAGGCCCCCTACGTAAAGCTGTACACCATCCTGAAGACATCGAGCACTTCGGCTGATTCCGAACAGGCCCAGGACCCGGAGGTATCGATACCACCCCAATCCCCCAAAGTCCATCATTTTTGATGTTTCATAGTCGATCTGCACCCTTGATTATGCTCGATTTTATCTGTTCGACTTACGCACCCTGTATATATTAAGATATATATAGCACGTTTCATATTCTCTTTAGGCAGCACCGCACTACTACTATTACTACTACTATTTTATTGCTCGAAGATATTTTTTAACCTATAAACTGCTGTTACTTCCTATTCTCGTTCGAAGAAACAAATCGATTGTAAATTAATATATCAATTGAATATCTCCTTTATTGGAAGCAATATAATAATAATATATAACAATATAATATATATATAATATATATTTATATTAATATTATAAGTATATATATATATATACGTGTGTCTGTGTGCGTGTGTGCGTGTGCGCGTATATATTTTTTTTACTTCTAACAAAAAATATATTCAAGAAACTCTTAATTTTTAATCAACTTTATTCTCTCTTTCTCTCTTTTTCTCCCTGTCTTTATCTACGTAGTCTTTTTACCACGTGATACGTGTCACATGAGACTCGCGCGTCTTTCAAACATTTCGGCAGTTAATAGGTTAAATCTCGTGTTCGCTTGAACATGTTTGACCCTCGTTCAATCATTGGTGACATCATCATATACTTTCACATCGCATTCGTTTATTTTTGAAAAAAAAGAAAGACGATGAAAATAATCTCGTCGGTTAATTCACTTAAAGAAAACCTTCGATCGTGATCGTTGTTTCTTTAAATAGAATTTACACAGGAATTCTTCTTTACGATGTACGGACGTTAAATTTAAAAGTGATCGCTATGAGTCATGCTATATATATATGTATACATCAGTATATCTTTGTTTCGTATTTACGAAAATGAGGATGCATTCTCGATAAAGAAATTTTATTCGATACTTGTCTGGAATATTTCGTTTAATTTTTCTATTACTTTTTACCGTTTTTTTTCACTTGTTAATTCTCACATAATTAAATTATACTTATCATATAATTTATTTTCAAATCGATTCATTCTTTAAATAACGATCAATGTTAAATGCATGTAAGAAATCGCTTGCTATTTCACGATTCGTCAACCATTCCGTGTTTCCTTTGATTAGATATTAGAACGCGTGTATCTCGTGAAGTAGATTTGAATGGGCATGATTGCACGATTAAAAAATTTATATTTTTATCATATCAAAATAATATATTAATTTTTTCCCGTCATAATAATAATAATCAACATGTAGTATCCCTTTGGTCAGATTTATTTCTATTCGTAGGTACAACATGTGACACAGTCTTTCATTACTTAGACATTCTAATCTTAGGGATTAATAGATTCATCTCTCTCTCTTTTTCTCTCTCTCTCTCTTTCTCATTTATCTTTTATATATATATATATATATATATATATATATATACGGTATAATATATATAATATATATATATTATAATATAATATAATATATATATAATATAATATAATATATATATATATATATATATACGGTATAATATATATAATATATATATATTATAATATAATATAATATATATATATAATATAATATAATATATATATATAATATATATATATATATATATATATATATATATATATATATATATACGGTATAATAAAAAAATATGCATGAATGTTTTACACAATAAAATAAACTAATTAAAGGTGTCACTTTCTTAAAAAAATCTTATATTTCGATAGGAAACAGTTAAATATATTCCGAACACATATATAACAAACAAAAAATCTCTTTGAAGTTGTTTTTCTTTTTTTCATTTTTTTTTTGCTTTTTAATTTTACTTATTTACTTTTAAGGGATACGATTTATCAATTTGATCGTTATTAACTTGGAGAAATAATTAAAAAATCGTTATGATTTTGATACCGATATTTATATCCAGTAACAACCGGTATGATATCGATAATAGTATCACAGAAATACGATATATTATTGAAAATATAATACGTATCAATTTTTTGTATAATATCTTTTATTGATTTTTCTATTGCAAACATAATAGATTAAGATTAAGATATGTTTTTTCTTTTTCTTTTTTTCTGAACAATTAAAATCAATAAAAATATATTTAAGAACAATACTTTTATATTTTCAATTAGTATTAATATATCGTTAATACTAAATTATATAATTAGATAAATTATATCGTAATGGTACGAGTTTTTCATATGAGAAATATCGTAAAATAAGAAATTTTGTCCAGTATTCGGTAAATATGATATTAAGAAGTTTTTCAAAAAGAAGATAGAAAACGAAATGTACGTCGTAAAACGGTATTATAAGCTCTCTTTGTCTGTCATAAAACG